GTCGGGCAAAGTATTACAGGGTTTTTACAAAAATCTCAGTAGTAGCGCAGAGTCTGGAATTATGCCTGGAATTATGGCAATAGGCTCACCCCCTATTACATGGGACATGGGACTCAAGACATAAATAGTGAAAAGTGGGTATTACATTGTAGTGGCATTAAGTGCCGTGCCTATCCCTTCAGGAATAAAAGGTGTGATGTTATACTAGTCTGGTCAATTGTCACTAAGGATTTAACAACTAAGCTTCAATGTCACTATCACAATACTATTAATATCGAGACAATAGACTATCATACTCTTTGAATGATGATCACTCATCTCTCATTGACTCTCGAAGACCCGTACTTAAGTAGATTAAACACAAAATGTGGGTTAAGATGCCGCCGACCGGACCTTAGAGGACAGTGACGTAATGTAAATCTAAAACATAACAGTGCCGGATTTGGGACGTAATGTGGTCGTGTAACTTATGATATACAAATATCTGTCTTTTTTTTAAGGAGGTAAGATCATCGAATGACTGCTCCCGCCTGGGTGAGGCTGGAGGGAGTGTCTTACTGACTAAAAACCACCCCGTTCCTTCTCCTGCACGTCGAGCCGGAGCCCCGGTAACCCGTCAGGTTCTCTGCGGCTCCGAATCGGCATCAGCCCTATTGGGCGCCATCCGTGGTGGTCTTATGGCTCTTTGAGGCGCGCGCGAAACGCGAAAATATCTGTCTGGCATCTTAATTAGGTATTTTCTATTTTCCCTATTGCAGTTATAAAGGAAAAACTATACTGTGTATGATATACTTATCGTAGGCAGTACCTACTTAATGAATACCGTAAGTATATTTGTTGTACTCTAAATAAATAACACAAAATCTTACAGTTGGTATATTTAAAACTGTGGTGCTTCAATTTTAGAACGCTATACTCGTGAATTCCCTTTTAAACTATTGGTGCAAGTTCGAGGTAGTTCTTAAATATTCGTCGGGCAAATAGCGAATTAGCGACTCAAATAGCGTCGGGGATCGCGAAATGCTGCTCATGAATATGGCATGGCTTGAAACTAGTCGAGTTCCTCGTCAAATTATTACGTGAGTACTTAATTTAGGTACTTAATTTCCGAAGACCAGTACATTCTTCCACCATGGTAGAAGGACATATTGGTTTTTGATTGGTTTGGCTGTTCCTAAGCAAATTTTTTTTTTTCAGGCAACATCATGTCGAGAAGGGACAAAATTATTTTTTTGGCTACATCACAAAATCAAAACCGAAAACCACATGTTTCTGAACCATTTGAACCTATCAACCACCAGCTGATTCCAAATCCATCAATAATTAAACCGATTGCAGAAAAATCTTTTAGTTCGATCTTTACCAGACATTCTCTAACGTGTTATGAAACCCTACCATCCTCCGATGAAGAATATGAATGCATTAACAGAGCTGTTAATTATTTTGAAGATTCCGACGACAGTGTCCTTGATAAAGACTACTGTCCTGAATTTATACTTTCAGATCCTGATTCTAATTCACCAATTCGTATTAAAAGAAATTTACTTGTCCATAAAGAGACCAGACGTAAAAAGACTGAACGCGAGGAGGCTGAACGTGATGAGAAGACTGAACGGGTGGAGATTGATTGTGAGGAGACTGAACGTGAAGAGCTTGGTTATGAAGAATCTGAACGAGAGGAGATTGATCATGAGGAGACTGAACGTGAGGAGATTGATGGTAAGGAGACTGAACTTGGAGAGATTGATCGTGAAGAGACCGCATGTGAAAATAGTGAAGTAATACCTGAAAATGAAAAAGGATTGACTAAAGCGGGTTTACCAAGGAAAAGACGTAGATTTGATGTATCCTTTGCGGATCGACAACGACAAAAAAAAGTAAATGCTAATGAAAAGCTGTCACTCAAACCACCGTGCGATGATAAATGTCGTAAAAAATGCACTACTAAGATTTCTGAAGAAATTAGAAGGGAGATACATGATCAGTACATAAGTCTAAATTGGGAGTCTAGAGGTGTATTCATTAAAGGACTGGTTGAACCGAAGGAAATTAAAACAAGAACCACTAAAGAAGATCGAATTAAGAAAAAAAGAGATGTTTCGTATTACTATCATTTTCAAGTCAAACACGAAAAAATTGATGTTTGCAAAACTTTTTTTCTAACGACACTTGGTTACAACCTACAAAATAACAGACATATTCACTCGGCACTCAGCAAGGAAGTCAATAATCAAAAAGATAAACGAGGATCATACAAACGCACAAATGTCATAGACAGGGACGTAATCAAGGACCATATACAAAGTTTTAATCCAACAATTTCACATTACCGTAGGGAACATGCCCCTAATAGACTCTATCTGCCGAGTGATATCAACGTAACGATGATGCATCAATGCTTCATTGATAAGTATCCCAATATGCCGATCTCTTTTGAAACATATCGAAAGGTTGTAAAAGAAATGAATATTTCCTTTGCTCATCTCGGGCATGAAGAATGCGAACAATTTGCTCTCTTTGAATCACATACTGAATGTTCTCAGGAAAACTGTGACCTATGTATTCAAAAAAATAAACATAAGTCACGATACACGGAATCTAGAGAGGAATATCAAAAAGACAAAGAGCAAGCTCTTATTGATAAAGACTGCATATACTTTTCTGTAGATCTACAGAAAGTCATAATGTTGCCACGAATGGATCAATTTAAAACTGCGATATTTTGTCCACGTATCATTACATTTAATGAAAGTTTCGTTCCACTTGGAGGTAGTAATAGTACTAATGTTCCTTATGCGGTGCTTTGGAACGAAACTGTATCTGGTAGAAGCCAAGAAGATATCATTTCTGCATTCAGGGCGTTTTTTATTCATAAACGCGACATGAAACATGTTGTTTTATGGGCCGACAATTGTGCGGCCCAAAACAAGAATTGGGCGTTTATGTGTTTTCTGGTAAACATGGTAAATAGTCAGCTGATTGCTGCCGAATCAATTACCATAAAATATTTTGAACCAGGCCATACGTTCATGTCGGCTGATAACTTCCATCACCAGGTTGAAATGGCATTAAAAAAGAAAAAGAAAGTATATGATTTTGATGACTTTGTAGATTCTGTAAAAACAGCCAATTCAAAAAGAAGCATAGTAAAAGTGATGGCAGTATCCGATTTTTATAATTATGAGGATGTGTCGTCTCAGCATAGAATCCGAAACATGGAACCTAGAGTCTATCTAAAAGACATCATGGCAGTCAGAGCCGAAAGAGGTGCATTTACATTAAAGCAAAAAGTTTCCCACGTGTCTGATTGGAAAGAACTAGATTTTCTACAAGTAAAAATAATTAAAAACAAACGCTTTCCTGATTTTGCAAGCAAGAATTCATCAAGAGGAATAACAAAAGAACGAAAACAAAGAATAATTGCAGATTTAGTACCTTTGATGCCTGAAACTAGTAGAGGCTTTTGGTTAAACTTACCTGAAACATCCCAAGTTTCAAACCTCGACTAAAAATATTTCATTACTTATAAGTGTTCTTTAAAACTGATTAAAACATTGATCTCAAATTGTGCCTTAAAATAAACACTAAATAACTTTTTTTTATTATTTTTAATATTTACAATTGTACTTTAGCTACGATTAAGATATTTTAACAACAGAATATATTTTTGATATGTGTGTGTTGTTTTAAGTGTAGTAACTGTGATTTTACTTGATTTGTAAGAAACTAGAATTAATAAGTAAGATACCAAAGTGACTCCTCCTGTTATAATTGTACTTTTTAGTTTGAAATTAAAACGATTTAATATTACAATTTGTTTTATTTATAAAACTATAAATGCAACCACATTTTTTAAAAAACCTTCTGAATACAGATAATATAATGAGTAGCCTTGGCTTTATCGAAGACAGTTTCATAGTGTGAGGTGAGAAGAAGAAAAATAAAGTTTTGCTTAATTCATATTTGACATAAAAATAGTAGTAATAAATTACAATTTGGCGTTTTAAACTTGTCTCTTTCTAATGATAACCGCAATAAATATTAAACTTAATGCATATTTGGTTAGGAAACAGTTCACTAAAAATTATTCGTTCCTACTTAAAAATGCATCATGTTGGTATCCTAACTACAAGTGCAATAAATAGGTTACTTGTTGCGGTTATGACTAGTAAACATTCTTTCTAAACAGTAATAATACTTAACATTATAGTATTTATTGTTTTTTATAGCGGGAATAAATGGGGGAACAAACATTAAGTACCAGGTAATATACTCTACATTGTTACATATCATGTAGTGAAAGTTTCAACACGATACCAGTGATGGAGATACAAACAAAACAAAAAAAAAATCTTTAACCGCGTTTTTCTCGAAATCAGGTCTAACCTAGTTATTGCACTTTTCGTTAAGACGGCAGAGATATAAACCGTATGATATGTATGAAAATATTTTACTGTCTCACGCCGACTCATTTCCTAAATAATATAAAATAAATAGGTCAGACACATATGTACAGTAATCAACAACAAACATTTTACGAGCAACTAAAGTTGACATATTTATATGGAAATAACGACAAGCCTCGTATATGTGCATGGACTGTTTTATGTTACTGCTTATTGTATACTACAAAACATGTACTTTATTTATGTCATTTCTATTTAGTCCGATAGTAGACATAAGTTAAAGGACAAGACAAATGCTTGAATGCGACGTACCATTTATGTACATTTCGTTTCGATTTTTTCTTTATTATGTTGATTGGAATAAGAACGTAGTTTAATTAATTGTTGATTGATTGATTGAATGAAGACAACTGTAGTATGGTAGCATTTAAAATTATTAAAACTACAACTTACTAAAGTAACCGCGGTCGTCCCACCGCGTCATGAATGAACGTGTCACACAGACGACCGGCAAGTCCGGCCCTGGGGAAACTTTCTCTCTTACAGCATCACAGATTGCGCATGATTCTTGTTAACGCATTTGGCCACATTGTGCGCAGGCGCGAGCCGCGAGCGCTATGTCTCGCGAATTTAACTATTATTAAAATAATTTTCACTATTAAATAAAAAAATGTACAAGTCCGCCCCTGCGTGAGTGAAAGAGGATTGCAGTTTTGAATTATATTGTGTGAGTGACGTTAATTTAAGATGAGGTGCTAAGTGTTCAAAACTTTGAGTTGAAACACATATGTCATTATTTATTTATATGTGCTACTTTTAGTTTTCACTGAAAAGGGTCGTTTTTCAATTTCGCTCAGCAAAATTGTTTTAAATATTCAATCGGCGTGTGTAGGCGACATAAAAGTTTTTGTTTTTAGCTTTTGAATAACTGATGCCCTAACATTGAATGGAAAAGTGTGCTGTAAAATGTTTACTTATAAATTTTCTTATTACTTTTCCAGATAATATTTTCTTAGTAAAATAATGTTGCATACTTAATACCAAAATGTTTGGGTTCAAACGATCGTCTGTGCAACTTGTGGTGATACTGGCTTGGCTTTTGCGATATTACACCTTCGGGTCGATAGTAATATGGTGTATAGTCGCGTGTGGTTTGAGTTTGGCTATTGTTTTGGCTGTGACGACGTATGACCATGACTACTGGACGTCCCGTGGGGTGTTCTCCCCGCCTGCGTGGCCGGTCGTGGGCCACATCCCGTCCGTGGTGATGTTCAAGGAGCAAGGAGGCATGTGCTTCAAGAGGATATACGATACCTATCAGGATGAGAGATTTTTAGGTAAGTACTCACTTTTCTGCTCTCGTTGGCCTCGTTGGCAGAGTGTCTCGGGTTCGATTCCTGGGTCGGGCAAGGTATTACTAGGTTTTTAAAAGAAATCTCAGTAGCAGCGCGGAGTCTGGTATTGCGCCCGGTATATGGCAATAGGCTCACCCCCTACATGAGACGTATAGCATAAATAGTGAACAATGGGTGTCAATTTGTACAGTGACAATTAGTGTGCACCTCTGCTTACCCCTTCGGGGGTAAAAGGCGAGATGTTATGTGTACTTAGTTTTCTACTGTTGAGGAAGCATCCGAATTCAAGATTCGAAGCATAACACTGCGGTTGAATAGGAATTCTTATGTTCATGATACTTACTGGACATAGAACCTAACGGGTAACCGGGGCTCCGGCTCGACGTGCAGGAGAAGGAACGGGGTGGTTTTTAGGAGCAGTCATTCGATGATTTTCCCCCCTTAAAAAAAAAGTTATTTTAAAAACAAAGAGGAGTTTGTGTCCTTCATAACAGTCGCCTATATCGACCAACGTATATTAAACTACAATATCCTAATTTCTAAAGATCTCTGTGGATTGATCTTTCTTAAAATTTTGAGACTATAGTGTGAAATTAGCTTTCCTCTGTGTCGTGTATGCGTTTACAAACATACAACTTCACATACACATGACATTCAGACCCGAAACAACAATCTGTGGATCACACAAAGAATTGTAATAATTAGGTAATAATTCTAATGACATTCAGTAATAATAATAATAATCAATCCAAATCATTGTTTCAAACTATTTTCTAATTTTGTATGCTGAAAAAGCCAACATAGCGTTTAAAAAAGTTATTTAAGACTCTAACGCTACCTATGTTCAGAATTAATTAAATGAATTTGAATTTGTTCTGTGCGGGAATCGAACCCGCGACACGTTGTATGACAACCAGTTGCCTAGCTACCGCACCAACCGTGCAGTCACAGCTATCTGGATTGTCGATAAGAGTGTAGAAAATTGTATCAAAGATAGATAGACAGACAAATGGGCTGTGGAGGGTAAATGGTAGTGTGTATGTAAAATATTGACATTTATATCTGGTTAGAACTAAGAGCCTTACACCTGAATACTGAAAGACTACTCAATTTTAAGTCACGTTTAAGTATAGTTCTCATCATCATCATCATCATCAGCCCGTATTCATCCACTACTGTACATAGGCCTCTCCAAAGGCACGCCACTGACTGAGCTCGGTCTTCAGCTCTTCTCATTCAACCACTGCCAGCCACCTTGCGTTTGCCTAGACGCGATCTTCACTCTAGAACACGTTTACCCCAACGGTTATCGGTTCTTCGACAAATGTGACCAGCCCACTGCCACTTCATCTTACTGATTCTTTGGGCTAGGTCGATAACTTTGGTTCTCTGTCGGATCACTTCGTTTCCGATTCGATCCTTCAAAGCGACCTTAAATTGGTGGACCAGTCGCACTGTCAGTGTCCACGTCTCGGCTCCGTATGTCATTTTGAAGACTTTTGTCTTCAGGCTTTGCGGTATCTGTGACGAGAAGACTTGATTAAGTTTTCTATATGCTGCCCAGCCAAGCTGTATCCTTCTACGGGCCTCCTTCTCGAAGCTGTTCCTACCAAGCTGCAGGGTTTGTCCCAGGTAGATGTATTCCTGAACAACTTCGAGAGGCGACCTTTTGAGGTCTCCGGAATGACAAATTCTTATTTTTTTTTGGGACAAGCTCGCCACAGTCTCCCAAAACCGCTGCAACTCCTGTACAAATTAACTATGTCATTTGAACTCCAGTACAAGAAATCACTAAAAATAAACAATAATTCGCTTAAAATCATTATAACAAAAACAAATTCATGAATGCGATCCAGTATTATGTAATTGGTAATTGACCATTGATTAATTGAATACTTTAGACACGGTCTGACTGGCAGCCGGTTGTTTGTTCATCCTCTATATCACATGCTACTGGTGGAACCAGTACAGCTGGTATTGTTAGGTCTGTAAGTCAAAAATGTGATGTCTAGGAAAGTTTTGGCGATGTCTTTAATGTGTTGATTGATTGTTATTATGACCCTATACTATTT